TCTCTCTCTCTCTCTCTCTCTCTCTCTCTCTCTCTCTCTCTCTCTCTCTCTCTCTGTGTGTGTGTGTGTGTGTGTGTGTGTGTGTGTGTCCCCTTGTCTGTATGTCTGCCTGCATCTCTGTCTCTCTGTCTTGAGTTCTTGCAAGGGGTGCGTTTCCCTGACCGTGTAAACGTTCGTTATGTCGTTAGGGATGACATGGTCTGTGGACGTGGCTTTCCGTTCCTAAGTGATAACAGGGACAGAAGTGCTAATGCCAAAATAACATCAAAGGCAGAGAGCTCCAGACGGCAGCTCGGGAGTGAGCAGATATGTTCATTTATTGCCTCACTACCGTGGCGTGGTGACAGGGAAAAGTGTAAAGGCAAGCAATTCGATGAAAGTGGAACCTTTAGAAGAAAATAGAAAAATGCTGGGCATCTTGAGATGACATTGGCATGTGAGCGTGGGAAGGAGACACACTCAGAAAAATGCAGGGAATTGATTGTTCATCGTGGAGAGCTTAGCCCCCAGTTTGATGTGTAGGGGTCCTAGCTAGTCTGCTGATTTGGAGAGGCCACAATTTTGGATTGATCCCAGTTGAGGAGCTGTCAGGATTTTTTTATTTTTATTTTTTATTTTTTTTTTTGCTCTCAGGATTTTATCGTTTTACGCGTTAGTGAATGGTGCCCTTCTTTGTGAGTGGGAGTCGTTTCGCAGGAGGTTCCATCTTGGGATGATAGCTTTTTTTTTTTTTTTTTTTTTTTTTTTTTTTTTTTTTTTTTTTTTTTTTTTTTTCAAGGTTTTTTTTTTGGGTTTTTTTTTTTTTTTTTTTTTTTTTTTTTTTTTTTTTTGCTGTTGTCGTCTAGACTCTCGAGAGAATCCGATTGGCTTTCTGTTAGATAAGAGTTCCCGCGATAGTTTCTTTGTTATTATTTTTCCTTTCGATTCCATTTGTTCTTTTTCGGTATACTGAACAAAATTTGCTCTGTTCGGAATGCATGGGCATCCTGACCGTATGCAAGGCATCTTTCAGGCCAGGTACGGACAAAGCACTGATCTCTGGCCTTGAACTTCCAACATCCAGTCTATTGTCGGGAACAAGTTATCTGGGGGCGAGGTCCCACTTGGCCGGATCGGCAGTTGCTGACCGTCGATTACGAAGATCAATGGCGAGAAATGAAGAATTCGGTCGAGTGGAACCACTCGCCCTGGTTGGGCGGATGATTCATATTGTCATCCATGCCGAGATGTGTGCGTTGTATTCGGAAAAAAAGAAGAAGAAAAAAGAAATGATAGCTGTCCAGGATCGGACCGGATCTTTGTGAGGGAGACGCTGTAGCGATGTATTGGACAAGTTGCATCGGCTGATTTTCATTTCATTTCTTTTTTTCCTTTCTTTATTTGGTTACCAATTTCTTTCTGTAACAGGGACACATGTGTTGAATCAGGTAGGGACACCGGCCGTAGGGGGTCCCCTTTGTTTTACTTGGGCTGTTCCCAGCAATCATTTTATAACTAAAACATTCATCATGTGTGTGCTCTTCCGGTGGTCGCACCAAACAGCTAGTGCTGTTTGGATATCGTCATAAAGAGCATCCATCTGTTGTTTCGATAACGAGCATCGTCTTTATGTGTGCCGCGTGTTCAGTGTTGATTCGTTTCGAAAATGGAAAGAAACGATTTAATAATTCTGTCGAAGGTGTAGTTGATTTCGTCTCCTTCCAAGCGAGGAAGAGGGCTGTCAGGCATGATGTCGACTCAGTTCGCTGCGATTAATGCCCTCATCCCAAGAAAGAAATTTCATGTCGTACTTCTCGCCATTGGCTTCGATCGATGTATCATAATGTTTTAGAAAGCTCTAGGATCCATGAAGGAACACCTCCCCACGCCCCACGCCCCACACCCCCCC